ATATATATTTATATTTTTTATATCATCAACCTATATTTCTAGTCCACTGGTAGAAAATGGGTCCAGTTATGAATGATTGAAAACTGATTATTTGTAGATCGTGAGATGCGGTCTGGTGTGACGTAGGTTTAGAAAAACATTTTCTTTATTGTGCCAACGTTTCGATCTTTACTGATATCATCTTCAGGGCCTGGGATTTATAAACATTGTTTAAATTATACAAATACATGTAAGATGTGAAAAAATAAATTTCTATCATTGTATAAATTAATTTTTTCACATCTTACATGCATTTGTATAATTTATGTTTATATAAAAACAGATTTTTTTAAACTTGTTTACAGTAACACATATTGTTAAGAGGTTTGAAAGAACTAAGAGCTTGACGCAAGGGTGGCGAAATTTGCTTGGCAATACGACTCACTCAAGAGGTATCGTTGTCGTAGTGAACATGGTAATATCGTACTTCCTATAATATCACGCGTTTTGGCTGGCAAGTAGCACGGCGGCGATATAGTGGACAGTATTTTATTATTATTTGAAAAAGGAGATAATTTTTGTTACTGCTGATTTAGACATTTCGCGTGTAGAGCTGGTGGTAATCTAACTCTATAGAAAAACTCTGGCCAGTGTATTTGAAAGGAAAACTTCGATTCTCAGCTGAAAAAGGCGCCAGATCGTCGAATACAGACGAATGGTCGGACGCAAGAATAAGAGAATTAACGGGATCAAATGAGGTACCCGAAACGTCGTACAGTAGGGGCGACAAGATGCGACACTCAAGCGTTAGGGGCTTGGCGTAGACAAGACTTAGACGTTATTAAAGACTTTGGCCTGGAAAATTGACAATGATGGATCTAAAACGCAAGAAAGTACGGGGCAGGAGTGTTCAGGCATGAAACTAAGTACTAAGAACCCATGGGGCGCCAGTATCTTCCATGCTGAAGCAATTGAGAGATGTATTCAGTTCAACCTGAACAAAGAGAACAAAAACAAGGACACAGCTATCTTGTCAGATAGCCATCAAGACACCAAGCTCAAACATACACTTCTTTCTAAACCCTTATTTCCTACTCCTAAAGTGTCTTTCGTTGGTTTCATTCCTTCCTCTCAGCCCGTTCGCAAATAGTCCTCATACTCAAACAAGTCTCGTTTCTCTCCCTTGCCCATCATTACTGGGATTTCTCAAGGTTCCAGTTTATCTTCCTCCCACTTTTGTTAGTATATTAATCTTCCTAATATTACTAAATACTGCACTATCACCTAACGCGGATGACTTTCAAATCTATGTTTCCCTTTCACTTCATGACCTTCAAATCTCAATCACATGAATACATGAAGATCTAAATGTCATTAGCTCTTGGGCCGTTGAATATGGGCCTCTCAATATCAATAAATCCCAGTCTATAGTGTTTGGATTCCATCCCCTCCTTCAATGTTTAACTCCTGTTCCTCCGCTCTACATTAACAACCATCCGATCTTGCGTTATCCATCTGTTAAAAACCTTGGGATCACCCTTCATCAAACCCTATCCTGGAACGTCACCTTTCCTAAATATCCCGCCGATGTTGCTCCACCCTCCGACACGCAAGCCAACTCTTCCGAATCACTACCCGCAAACTCCTGGGCTCCTCCATTGTGCTTCCCCATTTTGATTATGGCTGGTGAAGTCACCAGCCAGCTTGCAAACAGATTCAAGCGAATCATGAACTGCTTTCACTATTAGCTTTCCCAAGAGATCTCATATGTCTTGCAATGGCTGTTCTCTTCCTATCGCAGGCTTTGCTTTCTAGTTCTTTCCTCTATCAAACTTATTCTTCCCATTCCTCTTCCTGCATTTATAATCGCTTAACCTTTAAGTCTTCTATAGAAACCCACAACACAACAAATCCACCGCTTTCCGCTCCTTCCTTATCTGTTCATATAACCTACGGAATTCCTTACCTAACTCGATTCGCTGTGCCTCAACCCTATCTACGTTTAAATTTCGTTTTTTACTACCTCCTGTCCTTACAATTTAACACGAGGATAGTTAATTTTTCCCCTTTCCGTTTAATTTAAAGTCTCATTTATTACTTTTGCTATTACATTTAAATCTTCATTTATGTATTCATAATGCCAAATTTTGTACCTTTTGTTTTTCAAAGGACCCAAAGCCCTAGAATAAAATTTATTTTCTACTTCTTCTCTTCTTAGAAAGCTATAAACTGATAGTAATAGGTCGAAAATAAGGTTTTATGTGAAAACTCGTGGGACCCAGACCAGCATGTCAGATTATATGAAGAGCCGTACCCATCCTTTAGATATATATCAATTACATGTAGGAAAACTGTCGTTAGGCCATTTACGGTAAAGAGCTGCAATTATAATTGGCCCTAGGCCTGGCCAATTCCGATTTTTCCTCATTTATACGGCGCAAACAACAAGTACTACACCCAGCTGTCACAGAAAAAACAATGCTTAAAAATACATATTTACAATGTAAAATTCTCTACATTCATCAAGCTATTGACTACTTCCTGTCCATTTTGAACGGGGGAGGGGAATGGCTGTCGTGAAGCAGCTTCTCGTACTCGTCCATACTGTTGATTCTTTTAAAATGCAAATGATTGGGAGCGGGATTGGCATTCCGTTCTGTTTTATTGGTTTTAAATTAATTTGGTTATTGTTTTTGTGTTTTTAATTATGCAATATTTGTTTGACTGAATTGGAATTTATTTCGTTTTTAAAAGTTTTTAACTATTCAGTGCATTATTTAATTTTGTATTTTGGCGTTTAGATGCACTTTTATCAATCTTTCAAGATATAAATTTAGACGATTTTTTCCGGACTGTAATTTAATCAGGAGTGCTAATTACACGGAAAAGCTTTACCATATATCTTTGAAATATTGCTCATAATTTCCTTTGATGTTTCCATGAAACATTATTTAAATTTAAACATTTACTGACCGTCGTATTGCAGAACTCTCTGTTTGTATAACAAACCCCCATCAATAAATTTACTTTGAACGTGTACAAATAAAAGCCCGAATCCTTTTCATGTCAGGTCAATTACACGAGCCGAAAGCATTGATTACTTTGAAAGATGGGTTGTTACAGTTAAATTGTTAAAAAATTGCTAATCAATTACATAGTTCCGGTTTTAAATCTGGCTCTAACTTTCAATTTTCATAATTATACGGGCTGTCGTTGAGATGGAAATAGTGTGCTAATGATCCTCGGCATGAAACTTGAGGCTGATTTGTGAAATTTAGCTCACCCTGTTTTGTATACTCCAGTGTTTACAACGGCTTGTTAGCCGTACCGAGAAGAACTGGATGTTTACCATTTTTTGTAAATAAAAAACAATAATTGAAATCACGAGACTGATTGTTTTGTATTACTTCTAAAAAATTATATTTATTCAATTCAATATTAGTTGTTTGTTTATTCTATTACTTTGTACTATAATAATTGTTTCCAAACAGTGTATTTCGAAACAAAAATCACCTATGTACGACCAAGGGAATTGTTTTTAATATATTTTAATTTATTTTTAGCCTATACAGATACATATTACAAATTTGGTCAACGTACGAAGAAAAAGTTAAATATTATTACCTTATATTGGTGAAATTCAATATTATATGGTCTGAAGTCGCAAATGAATGCCATATTTATCCGCTCTCAAAATCAAATGTTACATTTTGTGGTTAATCACTTTGGACGCATTTAAGCAAACAATAAGAATAATTATTCGGAAATCGAGAGATGCGGTCTGGTGTGATGTAGGTTTCAGAAAAACATTTACTTTATCGTGCCAACGTTTCGATCTTTATTGAGATCATCTTCAGGGCCTGGGATTTACAAACATTGTATTGCATTTGTTTTTTACATATTTTTAAAAATATTTTTATTTTTACTCAAAGTGAGTAGAAATACTTTGATTGATTATAAAAAATATTTTTTGCATTGTACAAAGTCACTTTTTTCCACATCCTACATGTATTCGTTAAATTTAAAAAATGTTTGTAAATCCCAGGCCTGAAGATGATCTCAATAAAGGTCGAAACGTTGGCACGATAAAAAAAATGTATTTCTGAAACCTACATCACACAAAACCGCATCTCACGATTTCCGAATAATCATCGACTAACGGTCACTAATCACCACACAAAAATAAGAATAAATGGTGTAGTCGAGATCACGAATATGTCTGTTATGATGTGTATATGTTAAGTAAATAACGATTATTATTAATAATAATGTTTTTAAACAAGAAGACATGAATAAAAACTATTCTATATCATATTTTTCAAAAACTTCAGAAAGTAGATTTGCAAACTAGAAACGTCACCCTTGTACGTATCACCTCTCATCAAATCTAGTACACATCTTCCACACCTTCCTATTTGGTGCTTAAAATCGACAAAATACTTACTTGGAACCCCTCAATCTCGACTACTTAAAACATACGGAAGTGCCAAACAACCAAGTGTTCCAACCTTCAAAGAGGCCAGCTAAGCTACCTACATCGTACAACTTACTTTCCACATAGACAATCAAATCCTATTTGTCCTCGAAACAGCAGAAAACATTTGAATGAAACACCGGACCCCTTGACGAGTAACTTTCATCCCGAAATATAAAATTCATAAAGACAACAAAGTTTCATTTAGTGCTCTAATGCTGATAGAGAATCATAATTATTCTTTATTACTGTAATACCGTTTAAAAGTACCTACACAGATATTGATACAGAATGTTTCAATGTAAACAGCACGCGAGTCTAGCCGGACCCAGTACCGGGTCAACAGTCAATCCTTCATTAAACTGTTAAACTACGGTCTGTTAAACAGACCGTATGTCATCAGTAACCAGAGTACTACATACATTAATTGCTGTCCATTTAAAATAAGCATAATAGAGATTGAAAGAAAACAGGTTAATATGAAATAACTTTTTTTATTTAAAAGAAAACATTTGTAACATAATTTCTCTATTAATCGATTTAAAATCAAAAAATTCCCTTGATTCGGGTTGTTGGCGCTAGATTTCGAAAAATGAAACTTGACGTTAACGACCTTTTAAGTTGATTAAAGGCAAGATGATTTAGGAGAATTTAAACTTATGCCAAAAGTTTTACTTTGCCGTAGCGTTTATAGGTGGATTCGTGTCTGTTAACTGGTCTTGTATCATCTTGGCTATCCCATCCCAGTCCATCAACAACTGCAAACAATATTTACATGAAAGACTCAGAAATACGAAAAGTTAAAGTGGGACATGAATGCTATCTGGAGAAAACAGCGGCTTCTCTTTGCATTATTGCTTCTCATCACGGTATTCGGCGAGTGGTCGACTAGAAATCGCCTGATTTATCACCTGTAAAAGAAATAAGAAAATTCTTTGGAAAGATTCATAATTTTTCCCAGGCTGGATAGGAAGCACGTTATTTTAACTTGTGCTGGGTGGTTTGGATAAAATTCGGTCCCGTAAATCCGGTCTCTCTTTGATCATCGCAATCTCGCGTTGTGGTGAGGCCTTCAATCCAAAAATTGTATAAAAAGTCAATTTTCCCTTCTCACTCTCACGAGACCCTCGGAAAATTCAATTCGAGATTGGAAATCCTGTAAGCTTAGGGAAACTTCTACTTGACTAAAGCCGAAAATTGATCAGACCTACGGTGTTGTCTTTTATACAATGCACCCTTGGAATTCACCCCACCAACTAAGTTACAACAAATTTGTTTAAAGAATTTCTTTCATGGTAACTGTTCTTAACTGATCACTGAAGAGATATTTCATGAAGCTAAGTAAATATAGAAAACTCAGGGTAAAGTAACGCCTCCCTTTTTATCACTGTTCTGTGCTAGAAAAAAATATTTTCATTGGCTGGAAAAGAAAAATCAAGTTTTCCGCGGTATAAATATTTGTTTATTTTAGATATTGCGAGCACATTGGCCCATCCTCAGGAATCAATTTATTATGATTATTTTGTTCAGGCTGCACTCCACAGGGTGGGTGGAAGAAGGTCACTGCTTAGTCAGAACAACACAAATGGCCTCAACTTCAACCAGGTGGTGGGAAGAGGTGTTCGGCTGATGTTTAAAAAACTTAAACGTTCTGGGATTTGTTAAGCGTTGTTTCCATATACATGCCGAATATTGTTCACACCTTTCCTGAATTAGGCCCGAAAGAGAAGACCCTGACATCAACCTGTAGTCGAATTGTCTGGTGATAGACCATCTGTTTTTGAAACCATTCGAAATCATTGCAGTGGTTTCCTCCTCTCCCCTATTTCATTACAGTGTGGATGTTAATTTATTAGCGTGAACGGATGTACTATTAACCAAAGAATATCGTGTACTCTGGGACAGTGTGAATGCTAAGCAGACTAACTTGATTTTCAACTGTATATATTTACTGTGTACTCATTACACAGATGATTTTATCCTTGTCTGCCAAAGTCCTAAGGTAGAGGCAGGCAAGTCATAGGATAGAGGAACGCATAAATCAGTAACGTTAAAGTCTCCAAGCCTAATTGACCTGAGCATAATCTGGCATAAAAATTTAATTACTAGGAAAAATTCAAGAAGGAGATGAAAAGAATGGCGAAAAAGAAGAGAGCTGCCGATGACCGATGCCTACCCAAAATCTATCCACAATATTATTATTCAGAAATCGTGAGATGCGGTCTGGTGTGATGTAGGTTTCAGAAAAACATTTTCTTTATAGTGCCAACGTTTCGATCTTTATTGAGATCATCTTCAGGGTTCAAAGTGTTTGTCTTCTGTGTAATTGTGCCATTCTTGCGTGTCGTGTTGAGAGTGCCCACTGGCACTTGTTCGTGTCAGGCCCTGAAGATGATCTCAATAAAGATCGAAACGTTGGCACTATAAAGAAAATGTTTTTCTGAAACCTACATCACACCAGACCGCATCTCACGATTTCTGAATAATTATCTATTAACGGTCACTAATCACAATACAAAATATTATTATTTAACGAATTTGTAACTGAAGGTGTTGAACAAACGACGGATGTTAGGCATTCTTTTTAGAGGATCTTTTTATGTTTCCAATAGAATGAATCATTTAATTATCCTAGACTGATCCGGCTTTTTGCTTAAAACCGTTAATTAATGCACAAAGCACAAAAAGGCAAAGTCGAGAATCATCACTTTTACTATTGAACACGTTTTATTATTCAAAATACCATTTAAATTTTAGATTAATTTCAATCTTTTGTCTAAGTGAACAATGCTTGGATGATAATTAACGAACCAACAAAGATTAAATAGCTCCATTAGAGCCGACTAATAGATCATAAATCCTACTTTCGACTAAGGGTTGTTAATATAATTACAACACTTACCAATTACGCTAAATTTTCAATCGGTATGAAGCCTTATAGTTCATTTAAGTCAGTCAATTTTTTAAATCTGTTGGTATAATTTTTCTAGAAGAGATCTACTTTAGAGATTATATGTAAAAATAGTACATTACTTTATTTACTTTACATACTGTAAATCGTTTAGCCAATTTTTCTAGGTCCTCTGACAGTTCCGAGTTATTGAGATATCCATATTTATATGTGTTAAAAACTCATTGATCATATGTTTTCAAATAAACTGTAGTGATGCATAAATATATACATTAGAATAATTGTACACCACGGTAAAAGATTTAGTTCCTTGTCTATTCAAGTTACCCAACTATTCACGTTAGTTATAAGTAATTATCAAAGTCAGGTTATATGGTCCATGCTTGCACTATAAAGTGAAATATGGTCTCTTAGGTTTAAAATTTTTACGAAATTTATAAATTAAATAAGGTATCTCTTAAATGTTTATTATTTTATTATCCATGAATGTTGTTCTTTATAAAATACCTACAAACTGAAATTCCAACCAACTCATTATACAAGTAACTTCGATTTTTCAAGCTGAAATTAAAAAAAAAATCTTAAACGAGGTTACACCTACAAAAAATCTTCATAAAATCAGACAATCAAGCGGACCTAAAGCATGATTACATAAACATATCACAACCAAAATAGGAGGAGAATGAACCAAAAACCAGGGACTACATTACAATCAAACAATACCATGGGTGCCAGGGCAAAAACATTGTTGGGAAATTAATAAGCATAGCATTGGGCATTGGAGGGCCTGAATGACTAATTATAGGCCAAGAACTGAACCTATAATCTGAATAAAAAATTAAAGATCTCAGAATGGATCCACAAAGAAAAAGAAGAAATAGACATCTCATGGATCCACAAAGAAAAAGAAGAAATAGACATCTCTAAAGATACCAGACATACTAAACGTATGTATATGAAAATATCAAAAATATTCATAACTTGGGATTAATGCAGTACCTAATATATAACCATCTAACAATATCATGGTGTCAGGGTACAAAGGAATTTTGAGTAATGAACAAGTGGACAAAATAGAGAGAGGAGGATCTGCAATTATAGGCCGAAAACTTATAATCGGATTAATAAAATCAAACATCCTTTGTCTACAAAATGATCCACATAAGAAAAAAGGAGACATGAGCGTACTCTAGAGGCGCAGGACATAGTAAACGCATGGTTATAAAATCACCAGAAACTAGAGCACGCTTGCTAAAGCCCTCAACAAAATTTTCAAACACATTGAACAACAATTAAACACGCAAAAGCTCAGTGAAATCAAACCAATCACTGGCATCTGAGAAAACACCTTCTCAATCTCGGGCAATGTAGGTTATGCTATAAGTGAGAAAAAACCGCCATCCACATATTAAAATTCATAGTAAAACCCCAATGGAGACATAGCCAAGGGTATCAGAAAGAGCAGGGTGAAAAAGAATCGCAATGACAGTCAGTGACCTATGTACTATTTCTAAAGAGAGGGATAGCACTCATCGGGCATCAATTGCCCTCAACGAAGGAACTGAAGACTGCAATGCTTGGAACACATGAAAACCCCGCCTCCAGTAAACTCACCATTATCATGCTGAGACGACCGTTTTATTTCTAAGGATTGATCGCTATGAATAGGCCGAAAACTTATCAACGCCTTCCAAAAAATCATTAATTGGTTGAAAAATAATCAACCAATCAAACTATTTTTTTTAATCAACCAATAATTCAGATCTGGAATGCAGAAAATTGAATAGCTGATTGAGGTAAATTTGACTCTTTGTTTATGTTTCATAGTTGAAACTGTATGATAAGTAGATGAGGTTGAGCTAGTCAGAATACTCACAAATAATCTGGATCTTGGGATGATCAAATGGATGAACAAAATAATTCAATTGTTACCTGACAAACTTGCGACCTATTTTAAGGTCAGCATCAAGGTAAATTTCTTTGAACATAGAATCAGTCCCAACATTGCCAAGGCCTGCGAACAATTCAAGTCAGAAGAGCTATCAAATCATTCAAACTACCAGAAGTTACTCTTCCAGCTAATACCTACTGTCGACAATTGATGTTTCTAGTACATCAATAGTAGCAATCATTATCGGGTTAAGGATACGCTTCTGTTAAGCTAGAGACAAACTTGTTATTCCGGGTTACTAAGACAACATCTAAAACATTGTAGTTCAGATAAAATCCATAAAGCAGAAAATTGTGCGGATTATGTTAATTCTTAATCGATTTATGCTGATTAATAGGATAGTAGTTAAAAAAATTAAAATAGTATTTTACGTTAGATAAAAGTTACTCAATGGATGATGTAGGATGATTGTACAAGCTGAGAGTTCATAAATATGTTTGTTTCTGTTGTTTTTATATTCGACGTATATTGCCATTACATAAATCATGTTGAAACCCAAAGAAATTAAATAAAACGAAAGTAATCCACTTATTAGGGATTGTTTTAATTTAACGTAGAATCGAAACGACTGACTTAATCCGAGTGAAGGGAATAAGCCGTTTTTAAAAGCCGACATCAAGCAGGATGATCCCATAAGTTCTTGAAATTCTTCGGAATAAGTATGTTTGGAGGGAAATGCCGTTTGGATTATGGTAAGCCGTTGTTTTTTTTTTTTCCAACGGCCAAACTGAGACGGCCGCTCTCAAGTGAGCTATAATTACTTATTTACGAGGTAATAACGTGTCGCCTTTTCCAAACGGCTACAACGTTTATGAAGTACAGCCGGCCCTCGTGCTCAGAAACGAAGCCGGGCATCGCGTTTAGTCTCGTTTATCTCTGAAGGGGAAGGATAAAAGCTGAATTTAACGTCGGGAAAATCTGAGGGTTAACTGATACCGTCTTAAACCGGGGATTTATGGATCACTGTAAAAATCCCCGGGGATGCAGTAATAGAGATATCATATTGCTACCGGGGTGGGTCGTTAACGTATTGTATCTAGCCTCCTTTTGAAATTGACGACGCCACTCTTGCAATAATTCACACTCCCTTAACGCCTCCATCTAAGGGAATGGATTTACTCTTTCTATTCCAATTTGAACAACGCTTAGGTGTAAGCTAAAGCTAATATGTTAAAATTTATAAGCATGAGAATAACAATTTTACAGCATAATAGCATAATTATGTTTTCGGTTTTGCTTACAATAATTTCTGGTGTACAGATCGTTAGCCACCATTATCCGAACGTTAAAATTTTATTTAATCCTAGAGGCATACATGGATTTGATCTATTGACTTTTGTCAGAGAATTAGTTTCTTTTATTTTTATTAAATACTTATTAATGATCTTTGGCCTATTACACCTCTTCCATATTAGGTTAAATTATTACACGAATTTTGTTTTAGTAACTTTAACTTATAAATGGATTGTGGGTAAGATAGTCGTCCAGATGAAACCAAATACACAACTTTTCGTTAAAGTGTACATGAGAACAGCAGAAGGGAGCGAGCCAACGAGACAGAGAAAGAGATAGAAAGAAAGAAAGAAAGAATGCGAGAGAGAGAGAGAGAGAGAGAGAGAGAGAGAGAGAGAGAGTGAGAGAGAGAATTGAATGAAGTGAAACTCTTTATTTATAATTCACTAATTTCGTGGTCCACTGGACCAATTAATATATTACAATTAATTAAGGTTTTTATTGAGATAAAAAAGTCAATGGCACGAGCGGGATTCGAACCCACGATCTTCGGCTAGATACGCCGCTGCTCTACCACTTGAGCTATCGTGACTTCGATCCACTCGGACACCAACTTCCTGTCTCAACCCCTCTCTTTTGAGTTTTCCCTCCTTTTTGCCATTTTTCAAATGTGTAACGGATTGGATTCTCGGCGACAAATGAAATGGCCACGGAGAGCTTTAGTGAATATACTTCATTTTAATTAATTAAATTTACTAATTTCGTGGGCCGCTTGACCAATTAATATATTACGATTAATTTAGGTTTTTAGTTGAGATAAAAAAGACAATGGCACGACCAGCTGAAATGGTAGAGCAGCCGCGTATCTAGCCGAAGATCGTGGGTTCGAATCCCGCTCGTGCCATTGACTTTTTTATCTCAACTAAAAACCTTAATTAATCGTAATTTATTTATAATGCTCGCAGATTCAGGTCATATTGACCTGTCTTACAATCCTAATGCTTTTTGGTAAAAAGTCTCGCTAAGTGTTTTTGTTTTGCGCTTTGGAATTACAGATTTGAATGTATAGTATTAATATTATTAGTACATTTATAAAAATGTTTATAATTTTCCAAATAAATATTGTATTTAAGTATTTTGTAAGCTAATGTACCAATTCTAAAGTTTGTATATCTTTCAATTTAAGGATACCTAATTATATTTGTCATAAATTTCACCATCATAAAGTTAGCATGAATTTTTATATACATTTCAAATTTTCAACTACACCTTTCAAGTTTTGTGTTAATTCATAATTCAAGTCACTCATAATTACATTGCTGTAAAAAAAAAAAAAACCGTAGTCGTGGGTTCGATCCCCACTTTCGCCTCTGGACTTTTTCAGACGCCTAAGGGGACCGGTGGCCGAAGTTCAAAAAAATTGACACGGCACTCAGCGACCCTGAATTTGGTCCCAACCCCCTTCAAAAATGAGTTTCTTCGATGGAAGAACACCGGTACAACGGGGGCTCAAGTTCACATTTGTGTTGCGAGCCCTCCCCAATATTAAGCCAGGGATAAAGTACAATCAGCTGCAGTGCTCAGGAGAGAACTCCTCCAGTCACTGGTATCCATTGTAAAAACAAAAACAAAAAAAGAGAGAGAGAGAGGAGGAGAGAGAGAGACAGAGAGAGGAAGGGAGGGAGAGAAAGAGAGACAGAGAGAGAGAGAAAGAAAGGGGGAGAGAGAGAGAAGGAAAGAGAGAGTGAAAGTGATAAACAGACTTTCAATAAAACATAAATATATTTTATTGATTTTATTAATTATTACGGATTAATTTTGTAATTTACACCTTTTCCACAAGTTACTAATATATAGTTAAAGAAAGACCGTGCAACTGTTTTTATGTACTTTACGATACTAGAAACATTAGTTAGTTTGTCAGAATAATCAGCGGATTACATATCTTCACGTTGTTCATTACAGGTCAAACCTTCCGTTAAATAGATAAGAAGATTGCAGTACCGTTTCAACCTTGTCATGAATGTCATTGGCTC